CTCCCACCCACATCTAGGCCTTCATCTTTTCCCATCTCAGTTACTGCTTCCTAGCTGATCTTCTGCTAGTCATCTTGTAAACAGTTGTGGTATTTTTTTAAAATACCGTTTCATTATCATTCATATGCCTCATACTTTTATTAAATAAGTTTTTATTGATGTCTTTTTTAAAAAACATCTCCAGAATTTCCTCCAGCACCCTCTCCCCCGAGAGCCATCTGTATAACAAATAGTATTTCTTAAAGACAAAAAAAGAAAGGAAGAGGAAAAAAATCAGCATAACTGATCAATACATTGAAAAAGTCTGAAAATACATGCAATGTGCAACATTTGTGTACCTCCCACCTCTGCAAAGGGGTGGGATATGCTTTCCAAAATGGTTGTAGACAACTCTACCAGCGATGTCCTGTTGTGTCTGTCTTCCTACAAGCCGTCCTCATGGACTAGTCACTAGTCCATTAATGCTTTTAAGAAAAGGACTTGTTCTGTAAAATTTGGATTCAGTCAAAAGGTCCCATTTAAGGATCTGGAAAGCCATGTGGCCTCAAGGCCACAAGCCCCCCATCCTTGGACTAGTGCCATCTTTTGTCTTTGCCAGTTTGCAGGGCATGAGGTAAGACTTCAGATTGTTTTAGTTTGCATTTCTCTTACTATTAGTGACTTGGAGCATTTGTTCATGTGGCTGTTAATAGTTTGACATCTTTGAGAACGGTTTGTTCACGTCCTTTAACCACTTATCTGTTGGACAGTGGCTTTTGGTCGTGTATTACCCTGTTTGTTCTTAAGCCTGGACCCTTTGATGTGACACTGTTCAGAATCATAGGATACCAGAGTCAAAGTAAATCTGGTGCCAGTTGATCCACCTATACTTAAACACCAAAGACCTCTCTTTTGGTATACTTAATTGGCCATTAAACCTTTGCCAGTCAGTCGTCAATAAACCTACTGAAGTGCTGACTATGTGCCAGGCACTGTGCTAAGCACTGAGAATAAAAAGAAAGGCAAAAGACAGTCCTTGCTCTTGAGGAGCTCACAGTCCAGTGCAAAATATGCAAATAGCTATGTATCACCAAGTTCTAGAACAGGATAAATTGGAGATAATCAATGTAGGTAAGGCCCTGGAATTAGGGGACGTCAGGAAAGGCCTCCTGTAGAAGAGGAGATTTTAGCTGGGACTTGAAGGAAGCTAAAGAAATCCGGGAAGCTGAGAGGAGGAAAAGCATTCCAGGCATGGGGGCAGTCAATGGAAACGCAAGCGTTTGTTGGCAGTTGGGAGAATGGAGTGTCTTGTTCGAGGAATAGTAAGGAGGCCGTGTCACTGGTTTCAGAGTGTGTGGTGGTATGTAGGATGTAAGAAGACTGGAAAGGTAGTAGGGGACTAGGTTGTGATGGATTTTGAATGCCAAACAGAGGATTCTATATTTGATCCTGGAGGTGGTATAAGGAGTCATTGGAGTTAATTGAATGGCTGTGTGTGTGTGTGTGTGTGAGACAGAGAGAGAGAGATGTGATCAGACCTGTGCCTTGGGAAGATTAATTTGATAACTGAGTGGAAGATGGATTAGAATAAGCAGAAACTTGAGGCAGGAAGATAAACTACCAAGCCATTGCAATAGTCCAGGCAGGGGTGATGGGGGGGATTAGGAGGAGTATTTATTAAGTGCTAACTTTGTGCTAAGCACCATGCTAATTGCTTTACAGATATCTCATTTAATCCCCACAACAACCGGTGAGCTAGGTGCTGTTGTTACCCCAATTTTACAGTTGAGGAAACCGAGGCAGACAAAGGTTATGTGATTTATCCAGGATCACATAACTGGTAAGGATCTGAGGTTGGATTTGAGGGTAATGGCAGTGTCAGGAAAGAAAGAGGTATGCACAGGAGATGTTATGAAGGTAAATTCAACAGGAATTGACAGTAGATTGGATGTGGTGGCATGAGAAAGAGTGAGGAGTTGAGGATGACATCTAGTTTGGGAGCCTGGGTAACTGGGATGATAATGGTATCCTCAGCAGTAATAGGGAAGTTGGAAGATTGGGGGAGGGTTTAGGAGAGAAAGATGAGTTTTGTATTGGATATGTTGGATTTCATATGTCACTAGGACATCCAGTTTGAGATGTCTAATAGGCAAGTGGGGATTTGAGTCTGGAGGTTAGGAGAGGGAAGGGCTGAGTAAGTACAAAGTACTCTGCAACTGGTCATCAGACCTTTGCTTGAAGACCTCTAGAGAGGGGAAACCTGCCTCTTTCATTTTGGCATAGCTGTTATTGGGGAATTTTTTGTTGTTGTTGACTCCTCCTAGTTTTGCCTTCAGAGGCCAAGCAGAACAAATCTGTTCCTTCTTCCCTGTACTTAAATATATCCTTCATCTGCCTTATTCCCCATCACCTCGCACTGACTTCTCTTTTCCAGGCTAAACTCATTTTTTCTTTTATTTCACCTACAGTGATTTTATATGAACTGTTCTACACCCATAGTCTCACATCCATGGAAAGAAGAGAGATGCCTATTTCTTTGGGGCTCAACTTCTTTTGAGGCAGCTCGAAGGTTCCATGGATAAAATGCTGGTCCTGGAGTAAGGAAGATCTGAGTTTAAATCTGGCCTCAGACACTTACTAGCAAGTCATTTAACCTCAGTCTGCCTCAGTTTTCTCGACTGTAAAATGGGGATAAATAATAGCAGTTATAAGGTTGTGGACAGGATCAGATGAGATAGTATTTGTAAAGTGCTTAGTACAGAGCCTGCCACATAGTAGGCACTTAATATATGCTCCTGTTCCCTCCCCCCCCATTATGCTTTTGCAGCATTTAGCTTGGATTGTTTTGTAGTTGTCTACATTTACATTGTTATCATTTTGCTTACTGTTTTTCTGGTTTCGATTACTTAACTTTTTTCACATAATAAGTCTTCCAGTGTTTCTCTATATTCATATTTATTGTTTCTTTTTAGCACAGTAATTAATATTGCCTTACATTCATGTATGATGGCTTGTTTAGCCATACCCCAGTGGATGGGCATATACTTTGTTTCAAGTTACTTGCTACTGTAGAAGGTGCTGTTATTAATATTGGTTTTTTGGGGCCTTCAGCATTTGGATGTTGTCTTAGTACACGGTGTGAGATGTTGGTCTATATCTAATTTCTGCTAGACTGCTTTCCAGTTTTCCCAACAATTTTTGTTGAATAGTGAATTCTTTGCCTTAGTGGTTGGGATCTTTGTCATCTGAATGCTTTCACTGTTGCTTTCCCCTCTCTGCTTCCTGGATTTTCTCACATAAGCATATCTTCTAATATGCATTGCTACTTTACCCGTTTGCCTTTCTTTTCCTCTCTCCCACTTTTAACCGATTCTGTTTCTTTTGAATAAAGTGCAGTTGTCCAGAGCTATATTTTTATAGTAGGTTCCATTCAATCAATTTTCAGTCATATCAACTGAAGTTGAATTTGCCTTTTTTTATTAAGCTCTCTAGTTTATCTTGTTATCCAAACTTTGTGTGTCTGTACATAAGCTTTGGGCTTTATTTCTGGTTTCTGATTTCCTTCAAGACCTAGCTTTAGAATGCCTTCTCAGGAGACCTTCCCTAATTAAATTTCACTTGCCTCACTGGTCTGTTTTCCCTAGCACTTAGGCATTTATTTTAAAGATCATAGAAATAAATCCTTGTGTTATGTTATTTTGCGCTCGTTGCTTTGCATAGTTTTTTTTTTAAGAGTTTGTTTTGTCTAGCTAGATTGTGAGCCCCTTAAGGTTAGGGTTTTATTGTCTTTTTCTTTCTTCTGTTTCTTCCTCCTGAAGTTCAGTGCTCTGTTCTAAACTGTGTACTTTGTACACAGCTTGTATTTAATAGTTTTGAAGGCAGAGGATCCCAGGGGTGGGGAGCCTGTGGTCTTCTAGATCCTTAAGTTTGGCCTTTTTACTGAATCCAAATTTTACAGAACAAATCATTTGAGAGAGAATAGCGTGATCATGGCAGCACACTGACAAGTTCCCTTGAAGGAGGATTTCACTGAGGGGAAGGTTTAACTAACCAGTGACTAAAGTTGGATCTGTGTTCTTGGGTCATTGACAAAAGGGAGAGTACTGTACTTAATCATTTATGCTAGCTAAGGGTTTTTTGAGTTCAGTTCAAGTCAACAGACATTAAGTGCCTACTGTGTGCAAGGCATTATGCTAGGTTATCTTGATTATAAGTAACATATCAGCAGGACAGTCCTTGCCCTTGGGGAGCTAACATTCTAGTAGGAGATAGAACGCTTATGCAAAGAAGGGGTAGTACAAGGAAAATGGAGATGGGAGAGAGCATTCACAACTAGAGGAGTCAAGGAAGGCTTTATGGAAGAGGGAACTCCTGAACTTAGCTGTGATGCAGGACAAGATTCTGTAGGGTAGAGATGAGGAGAACAGCTAGTTGTCCAATTTAGCTGCAATATGGAATTCAGGAAGTTAGGATGAAAGAAGTTTGGAAAGTTAGTGTACACTCTTTTTATATAGCATTAGAATCTGGAAAGTCAAATGCCCAAAGACTCTGTTGGACTATTGGGCTGTCCCTGTAGATGAGTCATGTAGCAACACACCCTCACCCAGATTCCCTGACCCAGAAGGGGAAATGTGGTGGTAGTTTCCTTACCAGCATCTGGAGCCCATCAGCTCTTCTTTGGTGCTATTCAAATTGCTGCCATGATGCTTCTACATTTGTCCTTGGGAAGATCTGTGATTACTGGGGTGAAGGGATTCTTTCTGCTGATGCTATTCATCAGAATCCCTATAAAACTGGGAAGATAGCTTTTGAGAATGGCTGTGGCCACAAAATCCGTAACTGGTGATGACTGTAATAAACCACCAGTTTGCATGGGGAAATGACATAGTAATGGAATCTTTTCTCACCTTATTATCTCGGGAACTGTGCCTTGTGCCCTGCAAAGGCTTGCTTCTGGAGTATATATTTCTTTGGGGAGCACATGCATATATTTTGACTACCGATACTCTTTTTTCCTTTAGACAACACTACAAACTGACGAAGTTAAGAATGTGCCCTGTGGAACAAGGTAAGCTCTCCCTTTGCCTGCTTTTGGTTCCCATTTTTTTTTATAGAGGACGTTCATGTTCACAAAAGCCTTCAAATACATATGTAACAAGCTTAGAGGTGTTTCTGGACTCAATATTCCAGTGGAGGCCTGTCTCTAAACAGAACCTTTATATTGTACTCTTAACATCAATAGTCTTAAATTCCACTGAACCAGAGGGAATTCCATCAGGAAATTTCAGTAACACAGTAGAACTATTTTAAATCTACAGACCATTTGCAGGGGCATCTTTATGGAACAATATGCTTTGAGGGAGAGGCCATCTAGGCTCTGAAGCATGGGGAGAATAAAATCAGCACATTGAATTGTTCCCAGAAGAAAAGAATATAAGCTATAATATCTCAGACACTAAAGTCAGGTAGATTAATAAATAATATTAGACACCTGGAAAGTTTTTGGATCTGTGAAGGGAAGTAATTGCCTATGGAGGATGCAGACTTTAGTCACATTTTCCGGCTTTCTATAGAAGTAGAGACTTTCTTTGTTTCTTGTGTTAGTCATATTTTTTATAGATTACTTTTAGAGGTTATTTGGAGGCAGTCAGGGTTGAGTGACTTGCCCAGTGTCACACGGCTAGTGAGTATCCAAATCTGGATTTGAACTCAGATCTTCCTGATTCCAACACCAGTGCTCTTTCCACTGAGCCACCCAGCTGTGCCTTCGATTGATTTTCAAAGTGTGGCTGATCCTCTTCGCTAGTTACCTAGGTTAAATAAGGTTTATTTCTCATTTGGGCTATTTTCCTAATCATAGACTACACAACTCACTCCGTAGTCATCTTAAAGAGAGAGAACGTCAGTCCTCATTTGAGGATTCCGTGTTTGTGAGTTAGCCTACTTGCTGAAATTTATTTGTAATTCCAAAATCGGTACTTGTGGCACTTCTATCCTCTGTGGATGTACATGGAGTGGTGAAAAATTGGAGTTGCCTGAGTTGAGATGATGCTGATTCCTTGTTTCAGCTCTAACACCATAAACAAGCATCCTTCTCCATGTCTGTATAGTGCCACATTTTTTGCATTTTCCTGCTTTTTGTTTGTGATTTTGCTATTTAAAATGGCTCCTAAGGGTAGTGGGGGAGTACTGTCTAGTGTTACCAAGTCCAAGAATGCTGTGACGTGTTTTGCAAAGAATGCATGTGTCAGGTAAGTTTTGTATAGGTTTTGTTTAGCATGAGTGATAGTGTTGCTGGATGTGAGTTCGGTATCAATGCATCAGTAATATGGGTGCATCCAGAAGGAGGAAAAGGAAATTCGCCCGTCAAAATGTGAGATTGCTCCAGAAACTGCTAAAGTAAGTGGTAAGATCAGAGGCTTGTAGGGCCCTAGCCTTGTATTTCTCTTAGGACTGCTGGCTCAGTGTTCCTAATTCTGTATTCACAGTGACTTTACAGAATGTAATTACCACAAAGGATGGGAGTTGGCTGTTGTGTGCCTTTGAGTATGAGAAAAACCAGGTAAACGTGGCTGGACAGAGCAATATGCAAATGTATCCCCATGGCTAATGTCATCTTGGTGTGTGAAGGATATAGTATGTTTTTAGATTTTTTCATCTTGCTGAGATGACTCATTGTACGTGATATATTTGAGCAAATGGCTTTGCAGGTCTGCTTGTACAGCCGGGTATCTTACAGGTCACTCACTTTTTTCATGTCTTTTTTTTTCCCCTAGTGGTGGGGTCATGATCTATATTGACCGAATAGAAGTTGTTAATATGCTGGCTCCTTTTGCAGGTATTGTGCCCATCTCTTCTGTTATTGCTAATGTCAGAATCAAAGTATACATAGCTGGTATCTGGGAAAGTGGTTAACTTAATAGTCTTGAGGTAGGTGTAATACTGTTAGTGACAATTCATTTGAGGACATTTTAATTTTTACCCAAGCCTAACCCTTTTTTTGTAATTATTTGAAAGTCGAAGTACAATAGGTACAGGGGTTAGAACACTATCTTACCTGTCTAACCTTGTTTCTTGATATTTTCCAGCCCCAATCCACCACTAAACCAGGCTCTTTACTATTTCCCCAACAGACCTAACTCAGTTCTATCTCCCTGCTTTTATTCACATTTTTTTTTTTTTGGTGAGGCAGCTGGAGTTAAGTGACTTGCCCAGAGTCACAGCTAAGAAATGTGTATCTGAGGCTGGATTTCAACTCAAGTCCTCCTGACTCCAGGGCCAGTGCTCTATCCACTGTGCCACCTAGCCTGCTCCCTTTTGTTCACATTCTTACCTTTTGCCAAGAATGTGCTCACTTCTGGCTTTTATCTATGCAAATCCTAACTGTCCCTGGAGTCCCAGTTTCAGTACTACTTCTTTCCTCCAAACTCTAGCCTGCATTAATTTTTTCAATTCTTTTTATGCTTATTATCTGTACCGCATAATTAATACTGTTTTTTGTATGCTGCCTTCGTGTGTGTGTGTGTGTGTGTGTTGTGTGTGTGTGATTTACTTTATAACTAAACTCCATATAGATGAGAGGACTGTGTCTTCTACTTATTTTGTACCCTCAACTTACTCAGCCTAGTGTGAGGCATTTAGTAGGTGCTCAAAATTGGGTTTATCTTAGGTGATAAGTAGTACTGAGAAAGAAAGGCTTCCATTTTAGATACGTGGGTTGTTCCTCTTCCTACTTGTCCAAGAACCCTGTGTTCTCTTTCTTGTTGTCCCCTACTTTAACTCCCCCAAGCTGTGCTTATTCTGAACCTTCCTGGTCACCAAGGAAATCATCCTGGCCCTTGCCTGGTCTCTGCGAACTTCTCCTCTTCACTTAAACTGAGTCTTTTTTTTTCTTGTTTTTGTTTTGTTTTTGCTTTTTGGTGAGGCTCTTGGGGTTAAGTGACTTGCCCAGGGTCCCACAGCTAGTAAGTGTCAAGTGTCTGAGACCAGATTTGAACTCAAGTCCTCCAGACTCCAAGGCCAGAGCTCTATCCACTGTGCCACCTAGCTGCCCTTCTCCTCTCCACTTAGGCCAGGCGTTTGCACACTACGCATAGAGATGCTACCTTTGTTTACGAGCAGATTATGGGGCTGCCTGCCTCCTCTCATTCTTCATAAAGCAATTGATGCACATAGGTTGCTTAGCTAGTATGTTATTCAAATATAATAAAGAATTTGTTACAATTTTTATATTAAACAAAATATAAAATTAAAAGTATGTATAAAATAATAAATTATAACTATACAGGTCATTTGGTTCAACTCCCTTATTTTATAGTTGAGGGAACTGAGGCCCAGAGAGGTTAAGTGACTTGCTCAGGGTCAGACAGATAGGAAATGACAGAGCCAGAATTTAAACTCAGTTACTTTAAATCCAAATATAGTGCTTTTCCCATTATACCAAAGCTGCCTCCCAAAGGCAAAGGAGAAATCATGATGATGGGCAGGCCTCTCAATCTTTAAACCTCCATACTACAACGTACTCTAGGTACAGAGTACCTCTGTACCTAGTACTGTAGGGGAAAGACATACATTTGTCACCCCAGATCTGAGTGGCAGGCTTGAGAAAGGCCTCAGCCCCCTATTGTGCCTCCGTTTGACCCAGTTTTCAGGAAACCTCTTTCATCGTTGGTGGGGTGAGACTTGAGACCAGAGAGGGAGCCTCAAGGAAGCTACCCTGTTTAGGCCAAGGGGCCTGAAGAACAGTGACAATCCCCTGCCCTGTCTGCCAAGAAACCTCCAAATTCGATGTCTACAGAGGGCAGTATGAACTCTGGCCATCTTTGCTCCAAGATGGGCTGATAAGGGGACACATTTTATATTTCTGAGGCACAATCCTTCCATAAGCTTCCATTGCCTTCTGCATCAAAATCTCCATTTTTCTTGTTTTCTTAAATTTTGTTTTCTTTGAAAAAACAAAAACTGAAGGAATATTTGTGGCCATTATGCTTGAAAATGGCCCAATTTTTTGGCCATTGCTTTGTGCTCCCCAAAGCTTTTGGGGTGCACCCTATAGTTGGAAAACTAGCTTAGGTAGAAGCTTCGTTCTTGATTCAGTACCCCTAAAAAAGCTCGTAGGCCCTTTTCTTCTCTTTGGCACTGGGTATTGTTTTGGAAGGCTGTCTTGTGTACTTCTCTTTCAGTATTTGATGTTGTGAGGAACTACACTGCAGATTATGATAAGACTTTAATCTTCAATAAAATACATCATGAGTTGAACCAGTTTTGCAGTGCCCACACTCTTCAGGAAGTTTACATTGAACTGTTCGGTGAGTGTTTCTCCCCGTCTCCTATTTTGACTATGCACATCGACCTAATCTGTTGATACTAAATTATGTTGACTTTATAGATGCTTTTAAAATAAGAATTTACTAAATGTTTGTGTTTTATTGAGAGCAATGTTCTTAAACTTAGAAAAATAACTGTGTCTTTGAAAGTAATAATGTTAAACTACTCTAAATGGTTAACATGATTTGAAGTTAATTTTTTTTTATTATAAGTTTAGGTTTTAAATGCTTTAGGGGAAAGTCATTTTAAGGACAGATATTATTTTCTTAAACTCATGGTGTATAACTAAGTAGAGATTGGGTAAATTTTATCTACTTGTAGATTCTTTATACCTTGACCTCTCTTCTTAGTGAAACAGATATCTGGGAGTCAGCAGGGGTATTCATTCTACAATCTCTGGTTTGAATAGATTAGTGTTCTTGAAGTTTGAGTAGAATGTTTTCTTTGGATAAACTAGATCCTTAAAGTGAGGAGTTACTTCTTTTTTTCCTGAAGACTCAAAATCATTTTGGGGTAGGAGGAAGTTGACAGTGAAATCTTTCATTAGTGAAGGATGTGCCAGATTTTGGTGATTGCCATGTAGGCATCAGTTGGCTAGGATATCTACCAAGTAGAGCACTGAGAATTATGAACTATCACTTGATTCAAATCTACTGATTAAGGCTCCATGGGATAGAACTGATTTCGCTTGACCTGATAGGGATGGAGCAGTTTGGTATTTTCAGGTTAACTTAAGATTGGTGAACACACTAACCTGGTGATAGAGAAAACTTGGTGTGAATTTGTGGAGAGTAGATGTATTGGAGAGGAAACTATTTAAAAGCTTTCCTGTGGACCCTGTATACCAAATCAAAATGAGGCTGACAGTGGTAGAAAAGTGATATATTATTATGTCTTGTGGAAAAGAGACATATGATTATTAGAGTAATGTCAAGTTTGACTTGATGCAGATTTTTATATATTAGTGCTCAGTTTAGTGAAATTTATGACTTCATAGACCAAAGACTTAAATTCTCTACCAATTGAGTAATTTGGAGCAATTTGTTTAACCACTCACTTCCTTGATGTGATAATCCCTGCCACATTTCCCGCCATAGAAAGCTATATTACAAACATAGGATCATAGATTTCAGTCTAGAACCATCTAGTCCCAGCCCCTCATTTTGCAGATGAAGGTGCTAAACTCTAGAGAGGTTAAGTGGCTTCCCCACCATCACCTAGTCATTCAGTTAGTAGAGCCAGGATTTGAAGCCAAGTCCACTAAACCTAGTGCTCCTTTGGTCCATAACACTACTTCTTTAAGAAGAATTTTGAGCTTCACAAAAGAATCTAACTCTCTCAAGTCCAGGATTGATCATGATAGTTTTTGTTTGAATTTTAGTAGAATAGCAGAAGTTTTATGTGTTTAAACACCTGCTGTTTTCTTGCCTCCAAAACCAGATCAGATAGATGAAAACTTGAAGCAGGCCTTACAGAAAGATCTGAACGTCATGGCACCTGGTCTCACTATACAGGTAGGCCCAATATCCTGGGAAGTTTTGAGGAATTTAAGATTCTGAATTCAAGTCTCATTCAGATTCTGAATTCAGGTCTCATTCAGCCAACAAATTTTATTAGAGAGTGGTAATAAATATTAGGTCATCCCTAATAAAGATCTTGATGACTTTATGACTCATCACATTTAAAAATTATTATTACTTACTTTAACCAACATCCAATCCCTCTGAGTGCTTTTAAAAGGAAGAAGTAAGCAAGCTGAATCTTATTAAAGAAGTCAAGTCTGCACTTATATATTGCTTTCCAAAATAGTTTCATTCATTTCAGTTCTATCTGGGATCTGGCTCTTATAAAAATAATTATATGCCTTGATGTAATAATCATTCATTGGGACTATATACCCTATTTATTTATTAGAGAGGAAAAAAAGACCTCCCTGTTTAAACATATTTATAATGATACTACAACCTAAATGTCTAACAACTAGGACATGGCTGTTGAAATATACTGATTCAATGCAGTTGCAGAGGATAAATATGAACGTTGAAATATTGAAAGACTTGTGTGAAGTCTGTGTGAAAGAAGTGGAACCAGTTGAGTGTGCATGCACACACATACACAAAGACTGTGATTGTGTAAAAGGAAAAAATGTATACTTATATGGGGGCAAATGAATAGAAGCAGTGGAAAAAGGGATAGGGGGAAGTAATCAATATGATGTTACAAATGTTTGTATGGTGGAATTAATCTAAAAAGTATACGTAAAGTAAATAAAAAGTTGTTTTGTTGTAGTTTAAGATCGTTGTCTTAGGCAGTTATTTTAAACAAAAAAAAACACATGAAGTATTTATCAAATGTCCTATATGTAAGCCAAAGTACCATACTGTGCACTTACTTGGGTTACAAAGGAAGTATGACCTATGATCCCTGCTTTCAGGAAACTTATATTCTAGTTTGAAAGACAAGACATCAAGGTCTGAAGATAAATTGCAATAGAAAGTTCAGTAATAGGTCCCAGCAACAACAAAGGATTTGACAAGGCCTGAGATGCCAAGGGCCTCCTACAGTCTGTTGTTGCTATGAATGCTCAAGAGCGGAGGAAATGCTTTAGTCTGGGGCAGTTGAGGGGACTTTGTGGAGGGAGGGTTTCAGATGAGACTTGGTAGAGAAGTAGCATGTGGATGGGCCAAAAAGACAGGGGACAGGGACATTCTGGGGAGGTCAGTATGTGAAAAACCATGAAGGCTGAAAAGTCTCTGTCTTGTGGAGAGACTATAGGATTCATGTCAAAAGAGTTGGGTTTGAATCCCTACCGAGCTGCTGACCTACCAACTTGTCATTGTGAAGGAGTGACTTCACCTCTCTGGACTTGGACATCTTCCACCATGAAGTGAAGGGTTGGCTTGTGATGTTTACTCAGGTGCCTCTTGCACTCTGTGTCCTTGAATCCGAGGGTCCGGGCTTGGTGCTCTACCATGAATGGGATAATCTAGAAGGGTAGACTGAAGCCAGCTTGGAGAAGGTAGCCTACACCATTTTGGATAGCTGTCATTGTTGGGAATTTTGTTCTTAAGGCTGAGCCAAAATCTGCCTCCTTGAGGCCAAACAGAGCAAGTTAACTTGACCTTAACACTCTAACTTTAGTTGTGTGAAGATTGTTGTCACTGCCTCCTCTTGTCTGTCTCTGGTTCCTTTTCTACCTGATCCTTGAATGACATGCTTTTATATGGAAGATTTTTGAGTAGAGGAGTACCAGTCATGGTGGTATTGCTGGGAAAGTAGTTTGGCTTGAGTGTGTAGGATGACTGTTAGAGTCAAGGAGAGATTAAAGGCAATAGATGCCTGTTAGGTTATTGGAATAGCCCAAGATAAGGGTCTAAACTGGGGTGAGCAGGTGACACGGTCAGATCTATGTGCTTTAGAGAAGTCACCATGACAGCTGAGTGCAGGATGTAATTGGCATGGGGAGAAAGGAAAAGCAGGGGGACCAAACTGAAGATTATTCAGTAGCCTCGTCAAGAGGTGAAGAGGGCTTGCATTAGAGCTATGGCTGTATAGGTGGAAAGAAGGGGACCTCTGACAGATGTTGAGAAGGTAGAAATGACAAGATTTGGTGACAATATGTGAGGTGAGGGAGAAGTCAAGGGGGACACTGAGGTTTAGGTCGTGGTGACTGAGAGGATGGCATTACCCTTGACAGTAATAAAGAAATTCAGAAGAGGGGGGAGGTTTTGGGGGAAAAGATGATGATTTCTGTGACAGAGGGTTTTCCAATGGCTTGTCTCCAAGAAATACAGTGTATTCTTATGGTCTTTTGCCAACCGTATGAAACCAGGGATTCTTAACCTTTTTTGTTTCCTGGACCCCTTTGGCAGTCTGGTGAAACCCATAGACCCCTATCAGATTATCAGAATGATATTATTTTTCATTGCATAAAATTATCAGAATAAGTTTTAAGTGCATAAAATAAAATAGGACTACAAAGGAAACTAATTCTGTTGAAATACAGTTAACAAAATAACAACAAAAGAAATTCCTAGCATCCCTTCTTCCCCCAGTAAGAACCCATGCTCTAAACTAGGGGTGAAGAACCCATGGCCTCAAGGCCACATGTCACTTTCTGGGTCCTTGGGTATGACTTTTTGATTGAGTCCAAGTTTTACAAAACATAATCCTTTTATTAAGGGGGTTTGTTCTGTGAGGTTTGGATTCATTCAAAGAGCTGCACTTGAGGATCTAGTGGGCCTCCTGTGGCCTTTAGGCTATAGGTTCCCCACCCGTGCAGCATTGTTTCATGGCATAGGCTTTTCATCCTAATGCCTTTGTTGTCTTGGATGATTCCTGATGGACAATTTTTTTTTTTGGCTAGGCAGTGGGGTTAAGTGACTTGCCCAGGATCACACAGCTAGTAAGTGTTAAGTGTCTGAGGCCAGATTTGAACTCAGGTCCTCCTGACTCCAAGGCCAGTACTCTATCCACTGCACTAGGTGCCCCAACAGTTGGTTTTTAAAAACAAAACCAAAAAACACTGTCCAAAGAAGTCTCAACAGGAACTTGAGCAACAGTTAGGAAAAGAGTCTAGCTCACCATGTACTTGTGTTGGACCTGGGTTAAGGGAGACTTCAGTTCAAATTCAGCCTTAGATACTCACTAGCTATGTAAACCCTGGGCAAGTCAACTAACCTCTGCCTCAGTTTTCTCATCTATAAAAATGGAGATGATAATAGTACTTGTCTCCCAGGGTTGTTGTAAGGATCAAATGAAATAATATTTGTAAAGCACTTTTCAAACCTTACAGGACTATATAAATGCCAGCTATTATTATTAAAATACATTCAAGCAATTGGAGCTTCCCCCTCTAATGAGGAGGAAGAAACTAGTGGCCTTTTAGAACCTTCATGTTCTCAAAGGGTGTGGGGAGAATTAAGTAAGAGCAACAGAGGTCCTGGGGGGAAACTGGGTTTGTTCTGAGAAAGGGAAGGGAAGAGGGAAATGGGAATTTGTGAATGTTGTAGAAAGGAGGTAGAAAGGTGGGCCAGGGCCGGCGGCACATGCTAGTTCTCATAACGTGGGGTGAGTGAGAAGAGATGAGGATACAGACATGGAGGAAGGGGACAGAGAAATGAGCACCAGATGAACCTTACTCTTCTCTGAAATGAACAAAGGAGAGTTGGGGACACACGTGGTTTCATGTAGAGATACAGCAAATTCAGCAGGGCAGTAGGAGGTGGGGGGTGGTGAAGAGGTGGGCTAAAATCAGGAAGGGAATTGTTGAAAGCAAAACAGGCTCTCCCTAATCAAGTAGAAGGAGGAATAGAGAGGAGAGGAGGGTGATCTGGAAGCCAAGAAGGGTACAATAAATTGTGGTATATGAATGTAATAGAATGTTACTACACCACAAGAATTAACAGAAGAGATGAGTTCAGAGAATCAGGTTAGTATGAACTGACCTTGAGTAAAATATGCAGAACCAGAACATTTTATACAAGGACAAGAACACTGTAAAGAAAAATAACTGTGAAAGACTTAAGAACTCTGATCAGTGTAGTAACCAACCGCCACTGCCGAGAACTGGTGATGAAGCGTGCTCCCCACCCTGACAGAGAGGTGATGATCTCCACATTCAGAAAGATACATACGTGTTTGGATATGGCAACTGTGAGGATTCATTTTGCTTGACTTTGCTTATTTATTATGAGGTTTTTTTCCTCTTTTTCTCAGTTTTGAATTGGGGCTGAGGAATTTTTGGTGAAAATGAGAAGAAGGGGGTCTAGCAACTGTAATGCCAAAACCAAAGTTACCACGTAAGCTAAGACTATGCACTGAAGGTGTTTCATATTCTTATTATTTAGGTGCCAAACCTCCTAAATCCCCTGAAATTACTGATATTTGAAAAACTTCACGTTATTCATTTAGTTGTGGAAAATCCATTTTTTCCCCCTTTGCTTGCAGTTCTTACAGTAACAGTTACTCTTTCATTTTTGTGTTATCTTTGGGTTTACAGTGATTTTTGATACTGGTTGGTGTTTTCTTCGATTATCTTTGACTGTCTCTCTAGCCTTGTGTTAGGGCAGGCTCTACCCACTAATGCACCTTTGGGTGGAGTGCTAGGTCTACTGGCTTTGTGCGTGACCCCCATCTCTGGGGGCTATGCTACTCCTTCGATCTTTGAGGTTCAGAGTGCTGGATCTGCAGAACTCTCTTTGATATTTCATATTTTTAGAAGCCTTCAGTCCTCTAGACCTGGACTCTTTTTCCCCATTAAGTTGTGAGCTCCTCGAGGACAGGGACATCTTTTGCTTCTTTTGGTATCCCCAGCATTTACCATAGTGCCTGGCACACAGTAGGTGCTTAATCACTGTTTATTGACTGACTCTTCTCTGTCTGAGCACTGTAATGTCATGCTGACTGCTGCCCATTGTACTGCTCTACAGCACTTTTCCTGGTCCCCACCATAGTGCTTTTTCAGGGGAGCCCTCCACTTTTGTTGCCTCTGGACACAGAGCCTTGCAGACTATCCATGTCCTTGGACATCTCTGGATATGTCAAGAGGCTGCCGTTTGCTGGCACTGGCTTTGCTGGTGGGCCTTCCCAAGCTCCTATCATCCTTGTGCCTTCTGACTGTCTTTTTTGGGTGTTATATGGGGGAAAAGTCATCATAGTTTCTCATTGGATTTCTTGATCATTATTCTGGCTGGTGTGAATTCCTGAGTTTTGGGAGCTGGGTGGCTTCTCTCCATGCAGACAGCTTTCTCAATGAAAGTGCCCCAGCTATAGGTGTTATTACAGGTGACAATGCTGAAGTTCAGAAAGACTGAGGGGCTTATACCCATCTTTATTTACTTAGCCATTGTCAGAGGTGAGATTGAAACCCATTTCTTCCTGCTTCCTTATCCAGTGCTCTCCTGTGCCACATTGTGGCAGTTACATTACATAAATATGCTTGGAGTGGGGCACGAGCAGCAGAGAGGAACAGACAAGGTCTCATGCAACGCAGAAAGAGGTGTAGGTGAGATGTGGAGGAGAGGAAAATTCATTCCAGGCATGGGGGATACCTCGGTCAGGACACAGAGGTGGGGAATTTGGAATGTTGTATGAGGGGCAGTAATAGCCAGGCATGGCCAGACCATAGAGTGCACGAAAGTGAGTGATGTGTAGGGCTTTGCATGCAAATTAGCGGAGATTGCACTTGATCCTAGCGGCAAAATGGAGCCAAGGGAGATTACTGAGCAGGAGTACAACATGCTCAGCTTTTTGAATATTACGTTGACATTTGTGTAAAGGATAGCTTGGGGCAGGGAGTCCGGTTGGGCTACTTCAGTGGTTCAGTGAGAGGTGATAGTCTCTGGGCCAGAGTGATGGCTCTGTTAGTAGGTAGAAAAGGATGATGTGACTGTTATTGTGGAGGCAGAACTGACAAGATTTGGCTGCTGGTTGGATTGTTGTAGTTGTTTGTTCTTCAGAGAGTACCCTGGCGTCAGGGAGATGATGCATGACTCACAAATGAACCGGATTGAAGCGAAGGAGGACTGTGCGAAGTCGTCTCTTCCGAGCCATCTGGCCCGGGATGCGGTGGAAGACTTTGGCCTTTCTAAGCTCAGGTCTTTCACAGGTCTCAGTCTGGCTGAGGCAACACTCATTCAGTGATTATTGGTGTGGAGGAGAATGCAAAGTCAAGTAACTGAGCCTGAGTGAATAGGAGGATGGTAGTACCCTTGATGAAGCTAGGTAAATTAGGTGTTACAGGTGGCTTTGGGGGAAGAATGGTGAGTTGTTTTCGATATGTTGAGTTTGAGGTGCCTACAGTGCATCCACCTTGAAATTTCCAATAGGTGTTTGGTGGTGTTGGACTGAAGCTCAGGTAGGAAGATAAAGATTGGTTGTATAGATCCTGGGAGCTATCCACACAGAGATAATTAAATCTGTAGGAGCTGATGAAGTCACTAAGAGACAGTGTGGAGAAAAGAGGTCCAGCCTCACAGTGAGGGGGCTGGACAGGGATGAAAATCCAGCAAGGGACACTGAGATGAAGGTACAACGAGAACCAAGAGAGAGCAGTATCATCATATATCTAAGGGGAGAGGCTGCTTAACAGTGTTGAAGAGAGGTCAAGGAGCACGACTGAAAAAATAACGTATTTGACAATGAAGAGATCTTTGCTGACTTTCAATTGAGAAGTATGAGAGGAGGGAAAGTAGGGGTAATGAGAGTAAACAGCTCTCTTTAGGAGTTTGGTTGTGAAAGGAAGGAAGAAGAGATTAGCCCCTGGGTCTAGTGGGTTTCCGTCGAGTCCAGCGAGGGTTTTTTTTGTTTTAAAGGGGAAGGAGGCCTAAGCATATTTTTAAATGGGAAGGAAGAAGCCATTAGAAAAGGAGAGATTGAAGATTAGCAAAAGAGTGTGGTTAGGATCAGCAGTGCAAGTAGAAAGTTTAGTGTTGGCAAGGAAAAAGGCCAGAAAAAGACCTTCAGTATCTTGGGGAGATCCTTCACAGACTATTTCTGGAATGATTTGGACAAGAATTACTTAGGGATAAGAAGACATGAAAGAGGCAGTATGGCTTTGTGTCATTAGCATTTAATAAGTGCCTTCTTCCTGAAGGCACTCTGCTAAAAACTGGGGAGTCAAAGAAAGGCCAAAAAGAAACTCTAGAACAAAAGGCAGTCCCTACTCTCAAGGAACTCCCAGTCTGATGGGGGAAGCAACGTCGAAGCAACTGTGAACAAACAAGATAGGTATAGGACGAACTGGAAATAACCAGCATAAGGAAGGCACTCGCGTGAAGGGGGGTTGGGAGGGCTTTTTGTAGAAGCGGTTGGAGAGCTTGCTTCCGAACCAGAAAAAACTGAGTTCAAGTCAGCCACCACACATACTTTGTGACTATGGACAACAAATTTAATCTCTCAGTGCTTGAGGCAACTTTCTAAGCTTGTATATGACAGAGCAATTGCAGATCTTCATTGTCAGAGGAAGTTTCCTCACTAGGAGTTCCTAACACCAGTGAAAGTACAGGCTTGGTTAAAAAATAAAAAAGTCACGGTAAGGTTGCAATGCGTAGTAGTAGAGGTAGTGTTCAATTTTGAAATCATGAAGCCATCAGAGTAAATATGACAATAGAGCCTAATGCAAAGATAAAGTAGTAGAATGTTTTGTAGTTTAACAGCGCTAGAATTTGATTAGCATCTAAAGATTTAATTGTTTCATGTAGTGATTAAAGTAGGGCTGTCATTTAGAAACTTAACATTTTGCCCTTTGAACTAAAGTTTCTGTCTGTTTCTTTAGGAAAATCTAAAATTTCTTCATTTTTTAATGGTGTAGCTACAAAAAAATTTATGACTTTTCTGCTTTTAAGTACTCGGAAAACTAGAGCCCCAAAAGTGACACTTTCTGGGTAAATTCTAGTCTTTGTTAATACAAGTACCCGATGGTCAAAAGAAATGCGTAGAATATCTACAAGTTTTGTCAGATCGACTGTGCCCTATGTAAAACTACATAACATAGAGAAGGTGGTGGTCTTAGCTGTTATGAGGTAGATAATAATAAATTAATAAATGACAAATGAAAAGACATTAAGCGCTTACTATATGCCACACAAGCACTCGCTAAGTATTGGGAATACAAATAGGAAAAGCTAGACACTGCCTACTGACAAGTAGCTCCCAGTCTAATTGGAGGAGGTAACACATAATAGAAATTTAGCTGCAAGGTGAATGGAAAAGCCCCAAAGTCCCAAGGGTGCATTGGTGGGTCAAATGGTAAAAGTCATAGGGGTTCTTCAATTATTTCAGTAAGATCAGATATTAGTGCTAGGGGTCTACAGGGTTGTGTAGGCAGGGCAGATGGTAAGGCCTGGTGGTCCTCCAGCTCACTGGAAGGAATAGAGTTAGTGACACCCATCTTCAGACTGTCTGAGCATTCAAGATAGTCCAGATGAATTCTGGGATAGCCTGGACCCAGAGGAGGGAAGGGCGCCCCTATTTGTGGCATGTCTTGCTGTTGCCTGGCTGTCTTGGATAAGTTGTCTTTCAGTCATTTAGCTATACAACGATCATCCGTGGTTCCGGTTGGGGGACAGAGAAATACATTCATTGTCAGATCTTTATAATTGTACTAAATGACCAGAATTCCTTTGGATTAATAGTTCTATATCAGCCTCCCCAATGTTTGCTTTGTAGTATTTTGAATTTTTGTGAGGTAGCGAGAAAATCAAAGGTATCAAATTGGAGATCAGTACTATTTTGTGGAGAAAGTAGGGAACTTTGTTGTTCAGGCTGGGTGGAGTAATGCTTCCTCAGAACTGCTTTTGACCTTAGGATAAAATAGAACAAAACTTTTTTCTTTGAGTAGCATCATGGGATGCAAATTGTATCCTGCATGCTTATTGGTTAAATTAAAGGTAGTTATGTCGTAATGGTGTTAATCCATTATATCTAACATTCCCTTGATTATCCAAGACAGACATTGGGTGGTTGGTGACAGTCTGAGTTAGGGCTTGAAGTGCTGGCAGCATTTACTTCTTTGAGTCTACCTGTTATTGCCATGTCACTTACTGTGCATGATCATCGTTCATGTGAAATTAAGTGCTCCCCATAATGTTTCACCTAACATTCTGTTTTTGCTAAACTAGTTAACAAACAGTGTTTGGTAGGGTGTGCCTGTATAGAATTTTCCAGTAGACTCTCCTCTTTGCTATTGCTAGGTGTCAGAATTAATTGTGACATATTCGTAACACTTCAAGGCTGCAAAGCTGTCAATTTAAAGATATATTTAGATATATTTTTAAAACATACTTTGGCTTTTTTTCTTAATAGGCTGTGCGTGTTACAAAACCCAAAATTCCAGAAGCCATAAGAAGAAATTTTGAGCTAATGTGAGTAATGTTCATGAGATCACATTGTTTCCATACAGGGTTGTCTGAAGACCAGTGCCAGTAGTTTAGGGAAGATTTAAGCATTAAACTGTACCCAGCAGTTGGGGGAGGGAGCAGCAGAGTGTGTGTGCCTTTGTTTCTTTGTTAGTTTCATATGTGTTATAGACACCTTCAAAAAATTTTGTCACTAGGGCAGTGTTGCTTTAGTTTCTGTTTTTCTTATAAAGTATTTTCTTTCATTTTGGAACGTGGCTTATGTTTTTGTTTTTAATAACCTTTTGAAATGTATACCATCCTACGCTCTATTTTTTTTAATCTGAACCACATAAGAAAAGACTGAAGTAGCAATCTAGGATACTCTCAGGAGAGTGGGTATGTGATCTTGGCCCAGCACCATTGTTGGAAGCCTAGAATAGGGACTTGAGCAAAGCCATCAATAGAATCTAGTGATATAAAAGAATATGTCATCTATGTAAGCTCTCAAACACTATTCCTTTATTGTATTGATTATAGTGGACGCATGATTGACCTGAAGTTTGGATATCTGTTGTGTGCAGTTGTACATTTGTAGTAATATTAGAATCTTTCCAGGGGAAGCTCTTACTTGAGTAGTCTTTTTTCTGAAGACAGTCGGCCTGGTTTGTGTCCTGGGCTTGGCTAGAGATTTGGGGGTGTGGGGTAGGGATAGGGTAGAGATAATGGCATGTCCAAAACGGAATTATCTTTTCCTGAAATCCCTCCCCCATTCCTAACTTATCTATTGTTGTTGAAGGTACCATTCTGCTTCTAGTCACCCAGGCTCACAACCTAATAAGGAGTGATCCTCTACTCAGCTGCCAAATCCTGTCATTGCTACCTGACTCTGTTTATTATCATTTAGCTTATGTTTTGTTTACCAGAACATTATGAATAAAGTTGTCAGATTCCTTGTTGAGCTTGAGATAATATGCTATACTCTCTGGTTTATCAGTCTTGTATTAATTAGGAAAAATAACTGAGATTACTTTGGCACCATTTTCTATTGCTGTGCCACAAGCACACCAAGCTTATCGTGCCTTCAAAGAGGCTGATCCTTTAGGCCTTTGTGACCACATGCCTGTGTCCTTCTCTCTAATTCAGCTAATCTATTGTTGCCAGACTGATCTGTACTGCTCTAATCATGTCATTCCACTGCACAAAATCTTTCATTGACTTACTTCCCAGTGCTAGTAGAACAATGGCTAACATCCTTGATTTGGAGATTAAGGTTCTCTGTAACCAGGTTCCATCTTTTCTTTCTACTTTCTACTTAATGCTGCTTGTTCAGCATTTCAGCATATTTTTTCTTGATGGGGTCGGAGTAAATACTGGCTCAGGAGAGAGGAGACAGGATCGGCCGTTCAGTCAGGATCAGAGTTGGGACTGACAGTTAGGTTTGCATTTCCACAGCCTAATCCTTACTGTGCTGTCTTAGCTTGTCCAAACCTTTGTTTTAGGAGAGCTGTGAAACAAAGGATCCATAGATATCAGGAATTTTCTTCTCCAGATCAGGGTGTGTGTGTGTGTGCGTGTGTGTGTGTGTGTATAATTTCTCCCATAAAAATGGTGCTACTACATTGCTACATTTTGACTTAGAAAATACAATAACTTTAAAAATTGAATTCCTTAACAGATGTCCAATGTTGTTAAATGAATATATTGAATTGTGGAAATGGAAAAAAGCAATTTGAATGAGAAACATATAGGGTTAACCATTTTATTTTATTTATTTTTTTGTGTGTATGAGGTAGTTGAGGTTAAGTGACTTTCCCAGAGTCACACAGCTAGTGAGTATTATGTGTCTGAGGCCAGATTTGAACTCAGGTCCTCCTGACTCTAGGGCCAGTGCTCCATCTACTGCATGCCGTCTAGCTGCCCCACAGGGTTAACCATTTTAGAGCTTATTTTTTGAATACTGGCTTTGCTCTAGCTAGGCTCTGCCACTGATCACTTAGGAGACATTGGTCAAATCTCTGTTCGTCTCTTTGGGCCTTAGTTTGGTCATATATTTCTCTATGCCTGAAAAGCCTTTCCCTTTCTTTTTCACTTATTGAAGTCCTGTTAAGGCCCAATTCACATTTCACCTCCATGAAACATGAATCCTTCCTTGTCTACCTTACCTTGCTGTGGTTTCTTCCTCTGAACCCTTAAGATTTGAAAAATATTTTTTATGTTTTATTTTTCCATTACATTCATTTCCCTGCACAGTTATCTTTTTAAACAAAGATTTTAAAGAAAAAAAAAGTCCAAAAGATCTAACCAGTATCCACCATGTTCATACCCCGCTCTCTTTCCCCCATCCTTTCTTTCGGTGAAGGGAAGAAAGTATATTTTCTTTACTCTAGGGCCATCCTTGTTCAATATAATTACAATATTCATAAAAACATATGTTTAAAAAAAAGTTTTCACATGCTACTGGGAAATAAGAAATACAGGAAATGGGGTACAGAAGTCTATCCTGCCCTACAGGAAAATAGAAGGGGAAGGGGATAAGAGAAGGGGGGGAGAGATAGAAGAGAGGACAAACTAGGGGGATATTCAGAATGCATGCCATCTTGGGGTGGGGGAAAGGGTGAGATGGGGTGAAAATTTGGAGCTCAAAATCTTGTGGAAGTAAATATTGAAAGCTAAAAATAAATTTATATTTAAAAAAAACAGTATTCAGGGGTTTTTTTTGTTCCTTCCATTTACATTCATGTAGTCATTGTGCATTGTTTTCCTGGTTCCTTCATTCTGCATCTGTTCATATAAGTTCTCCCATACTTCTCTGAATTCTTCATATTTGTCATTTCTTATGGTACCTCTGAACTCTTAGAGCACTTAGTAGCTGTACGTTCGGTGCTCCTCAGAAGCAGATTTATGTAGCATTACCTTTCTATGTGCACATGTCCTTACCGTAATAGAAGGTTCTGTTACATGTTTTAGGCTTCCATAGAAATGTAGACTCAGGCGCAAGGTACTTAAAAAAGCTTGTTGGGTTGAATTGCTATTTATTTTACTTTGCATTTCCAACACTAGCAAAGTGCCTTGCACATAGTAGGTTTATAGTAAATGTTTGATGATGATCGTGCTCTAGAAAAAAAATCTTTTGATTCGATATTACTCCTTGATTGAGCGTTTAGAAAGCTTGTAGTTTGTCCCAGTCGACCATAGAGTTGCTTCTTAGCCTCAATACATAGTCACATGGCTAGTCAGAAATCACTAGGTTCACTATGGGCTGCTTATTTCTGTTGTTAAGGTTCCCAAATAGACTGACACACCTGTTGCCCCAGCATAAATCAACAGATAGAGCTCCTAGAGGAAACTCTAGTTTCCCAGGGAATCATGATGATGATAATAAGGATGATAATTTTGGTTTTGGTTTGAACCTGAGATTTCATTAGTGTAAAGAGCTTGCAGTCTGGGTATTCCCTTCACTGATTCAGCCTAGCAGCTCACCTGTAATGTGTAGTTTCAGAGAAGATTAAGTGATTTATTTACTAACAGTCGCATAGATAATGCTTTGGAGGCAGAATTTGGACCCCAAGACTTCTTGGCCCTCTATTTATTTTGTCATGGTGCTTATAATAACAATTAGTGACAATAACTATAACTAATTTATATACTTCTTTTAAGATTTAAAAAGCATTTCTATCACAGTAAACCTGTGAGATATGTAGTACAAGTAATATTTCCATTTTATAGATTTGGAAACTGAAGATTAGTGAGGTTAAATGAATTGTCAATGGTCAAAAAGCTTGTACATGGCAAGAACAACTATTGCAACAAACTTAACCTCCCTAGAGCTCAGATTCTTCATCTGTATGATGAGAGTGTTGGAATAGGTGATCTCTCTGGGTTCCTTCCAACTCGAGCAGATTATTTTATGTATATTTATTTCTGTACAAATCCTATTTCCTTTTAGCAGATTATAGGAATATTGAAGGTAGGGGCTATCCTATATATCTTTGCATCTCTCAGTATATAATATATATGTTTGTAACAAAGTAGATGCTTAGTAAATATTGAGCAAGGTGAAGTGGTCAGGACAAACCTAACTTTGAATCCTGTTTCCAACATTAATTTAGGGCAGGCCTGTATGGCCTGTGGCTGCTTATGGCCAGGTATGCCAAAGGGTTTTGGGTAGCCTGTGAAAAATGTAGAGGATGTTCTCCTCTACATTTTTTGCTGGCCGCTCAAAATCCTTTGGCATGTGGCAAGCATACCACAGGCCATAAAGGCCTGATTCAGGCTATGGTCTTGTACAAGTCATTTAACATCTCTGAGCCTCAGTTTTATCTTCTGTAAAATGAGCTCACAAAGTGGTTGTAAAGAAAACAGTTTGTAAACTTTTAACTGCTATGTCATAGGTTCTTTGGAATTGTAGTTGGTCATTGCATTGATCTGAGTTTTACGACTAATAATCTGCGAATTTTTAAATTGAATGTTCAGTCATGAAGATGAATAAGGAAAGATTAGAATTATTGCTTGTGGAAAATAGTGTCATGTTAACAGATGACCTAGAGAAAGTATAATTACTCTGCTCCTATTTTGCTTCTGTTCACCAAGAAGCAAATAGAATAGGGAGAATGGAAACCCAAGATGGGTGAGAAGATAGTAAAAAAGTACTTAACGTCTTTAAGTGAGTTTAAATCTACAGGGCCAGACGAATTAAATCCCATCTGACAGAATCTGCAAAGGATGAATTCTCAAAGAATTGGAGTCCAAGGCAACATAATAATAAAGGCTGCAGCAGAGAGACAAAGTGCTGTTGAGGGACCAATGGAGGAGAGTTTGCAGCTAATTGGGTGGACAGGCAGAGTGGACTAAGGAAAGGCAGAGAAGGAGCTGCTGTTTGTTGGACCTTGAAGAATGAGTTTTTGCAATCTCGGCTTTTTCTATCGTTAAACTTCCTGACATCTTGGAGGATTCCCACCATCAAATAAATACCTCTTTAGTTCTTCCTTATGTGCTACAGGCCAAAACTGTAGGAAATCCTGAAA